CATGTCATTGAGTATTCTTTTAGAACATGGTTTTTTAACATCTATATAGCATCATGCTCTCATTTGGAAATCAGACTTTATTTAGCCAACCTCCAGCTGTTAGGCATTTAGATTGTTTCCTGTTATTATAACGCTGAAATGAAGACCCTCAGGGGTACAACGTTGTGTTCATTTCTAATTGGGTCAAGAAGCAGGATGGCCGGGTGGTTAAAATCAGGGGCCTTGCAGCTGTCATCCCCAGATCTCAATCCCTTACCTCAAATGACATAACCTCTCTTGGCCTCATTTTCTTTATTTGTAAAATGATGATTTGCTTGGGAAAAGTATTAATAATACTTACCTTACAAGGTTGACCTGATAATTTCTGAATATAAAGTACTTAAAACAATGTCATCCTTGACACTGTGTCGGTTGAGAAAGTACTCAAGCTTAATTATTATGTCTTTGGGGTTATATACCTTGAAGAAGAGTTTCTGGATCAGCAATTTTATATATATTTTCAGGCCTTGGAAACATATTGCCTACTGCCCTTCTGAAGGATTATGCCAAACCCACAAGCAGCTTGTAAAGATGTTGGGTTGTCCACAGTCTTCCAAATCTCTTCTTTTAAAATACCCAAGATGTTTGCTTTCACCAATCTGGACTTCTCTGTAGCTGTGGGATTTAGGACTAGTGACCTCTCTTTCCTGAAGCCCTCGAGTCCCCGGGTTCTGTCCCCATGTTCTCTGGGTTCTCCATCAATGTCTCCCATCTTCCTCCATGTCTCTTGTTGGGTGCACACTCCTGGGACCAGGCAATCCTGGATGTTACCTCAGGTCCAGGCGTCAGTGGTCTCCTCTCCATTTTCCAAATGCTCTTTCTTGGAGGTCTCATCCCCTTCCACCCACGCCCTTGGTTTGCTAATTGACATGTCTAGTTCTCACTTGTCATGAATGTCCCAATCCCACATCTCCACGTGGGTGTCCATCATCTCAAATCTTCAAGCCTGATGCCAACTCTGCCATATCCTGCTTCCTCTCCTCCACCTCTGCCAGGCAAGCTCCTTGTTTCTATTTTCATGTCACCAAAGCTTGAAATGTCAAAGACACCTTGGATTCTTCCTCCTCATCCTTGGTCATCAGACCAATCCATAATTTTTTCTTAATAGCTTTGTAGGGTGTCTCCCCCTTGCCATTTCCAACACTTTCTCCCTTATTCAAACTTTAATCATAAGACAGATCCTCTTGTCTTCCAGCTCTCTCCTCCTGCACACGCCTTCCTTTGCTCGACTTTACAACGGATCTCAGGATGCCCAGTCACCCCCCTGCTCAAGGATCCTCTCATTGCCTGAATAAAGTCCACACTCCTCCACTTGGCATTCAAGGACTTCAAAGACTCGACTCTACCCTAGATTTCCAGGTGTGTCGCTTTCTATTGCAGCTCTCTTTGCCTGGAATGTTCATTTGCTCTAAATTCTATCCATCCTCAAATCATTCTCTTCCCTGAAGGCTTTTCTGACCATTCTGGCTTGCAACCATTTTAGTTAGGACTGTTAGCACTACAGGTAATGGTTTCAGAGACACTCGAACTGGTTTCGCCCACAAGGATATTTGCTGGCTTCCGTCAAAGGAAATCTATAGGTAGGGTAGCCAATGAGGTCAACTGTAGCAAACACTATTGCTAACCAATATTTGTCTCTCTCTCTTTCCCAACAAAACTTCAATGTTGTTCAAGTCCCCACCTCTCCTTCACACAGCCATGTGCTCCAGGGAGGCTGACCTCATTCTTCACTTGAGTAAGTGGTGACTAAGGACCCAGGTGCTGGAGTCTGAATTTAAAACGTAGTTCTGCTACTTCCTAGCTGTGTGGTCCCTGGGTAAATCATTTAAACTGTTTATTTCCATTTATCCTGTATAAAATGAGAATATTAATAGTATCTCTTCTAGAGCATTGTGATACAGCACTTATGAGAGTGCCTGGTCCCTAATAAAAATTATATTATGGAGGGCTTGCTATTTTTACCCCACCTAATAAGACAATCATGGCATTCCAAGGGCACTTGTGAAAAAGTCATGAGGGAAGTCTGCCAGGGGCCTCCTGGGGAGATTGTTCTAAGTCTTAAGAAGGAGACACAACATTTCTTGACTCTCATTTTCTCGACTGTGCCACGTCTGAAGTCTTTTTGTCTGGGATGTGCAGCCGGAGGCAGACGGACCTCAGTGTTGATCGAATAATGTCATCGAGGACCCAGACTCTCTTGTCTCCTTGCTCATCCCTCTTCCACGCGCTGGCTTCTTCAAAGCAGTATGCTGGCTGCAGCAGTCCCAGCCATCATGTCACAGCAGCAACCAGAGGAGTAGAGAGACTGCCCCTTCCTGTGTCTCTGCAGGAGCAAGACAAGTTTTCCCATCCGCCGCCCGGCATTCCTGCCTCGTTAGCTAGAACTGTGTCGCATGGCCTTCCTTGAACCAACTGATGGCAAAGGAAATAGGATTTTCTGTAGCCCCATCAGGGCAAGCACAGCGCTGGGAGCGAGGTCATCATTCTCCAAGATAACAGTGCACTTTCCGGCAGCACCTCTGCGGGCTCTTTGTCCACTGGCAGTGATATCAAAATAAAGGATTTCCACGTAGGCTTCAAAAGACCTGGGTTCTGATCTGCACACTGCTGTTAGCTAGCTGGTGATTCTGAGCCAGTCACTTAAATTCTCTGGGCCAGTGTGCTCATCTTGAAAGTGGGAATAGTCACCCTGCCTTCTTGTAAGAATCCAACGAGAATGTGTGAGGGAGCCCCTCGTGAGCTTGGAGATGCTCTATAGATGTGAAGTATGCGAACTCCGGAGGGCTGTTGTCCTCTTTTACGAACTCCCTCTCATAGGCAAGAGAGCCCCTAGGGTCGGCAGCCAGCTCTGGAAGTGAGTCAAGAATCGGTCTCCTTCCGCTCATCTGCTCTTTTGGGCTCCCTCATCTCACAACCCACTCTTGGATCCATAGCCCCACCAGGTGTTGTCAGTCCATCTCTACCCTCATGGCCCCAGACCTCTTTCGGACTGGTTTGTTTGCTTGTTTTAGTTTTCTTTCTTTTTTTAAAGAAAGTTTTTATTTGAGTGTCATTGACACAAGGTTACAGTAGTTTTAGGCGCACCACCACATAGTAATTCAACAGGTCCATATGCTACGCCATGTTCACAAGTACAGCTTGTCTGTCACCAGACCACACTATTATAATACCATTCACTGTACTCCCTATGCTATACCTTTTCTTCCCATGAATGCACTCCCATGATTCATTCATTCCGTAACTAGGAGCCTGTATCTCCCACTCCCCTTCATCCATTTTGCCCATCCCTCACTCACCTCCTCTCAGGCACCCATCGGTTTGTCTTCTGTATTGAAAAGTATGATTCTGCTTTTTGCTTATTCATTTGTTTTGTTTTTTTGTAAGTTCCACATTTAAGTGAACTCATATGGTACTTGTCTTTCTCTGTCTGACTCATTTCACTTAGTGTAATACTCTCTAGGTCCATCCATGTTGTCCCAAAGGGCAAGATCCCATCCTTTTTTTTATGTCTACAGAATATTCCATTTGGACTGGGGAATCTTTAGGAAAGACTCTTTCGGATGCCTATGCCTATGGACGGCAAATCTCACTGCCAAGAGGGCTGAGATGTTGCATTTTTCATCTAGGAGCTCTGTGCTAGCTTTCCTTTGACCCAGTCTCTTGAGATCTGTCAAGGTTAGACAGGAAACATTTTAGAAAGTAGTTGTTAAAAGCATGAGCTCCAGGAGCACCTGGGTGGCTCAGTCGGTTAAGTGTCCGACTTCGGCTCAGGTCATGATGTCGCGGTCTGTGAGTTTGAGCCCCGCATTGGGCTCTGTGCTGACAGCTCAGAGCCTGGAGCCTGTTTCAGATTCTGTGTCTCCCTCTCTCTCTGACCCTCCCCCGTTCATGCTCTGTCTCTGTCTCAAAAATAAATGAATGTTAAAGAGAAATTTAAAAAATAAAATAAAAAGCACGAGCTCAGAATCAGGCAGTCTCTGGGTTAGAATCTGGACTTCAATGCTCAGTAGCTGGTTGATCTAAGCAAATCCTTTAGCCTCTGAGTCCAGTTTCCCCATCCTTAAAACGGGACTATGGGGCTATGCCTATAAGGCTGCTCTGATAAAACATGTGAACCGCTTGGCACTGTGCCTGGCAGGGAACAAGAGCTCACCAGGCAGAAGTTCGGCTTTCTCGTTGATTTATAACAATTATTGGGGAAAACGTGAAGAACCCAATTCTAGCTCCTCTCCAGCCCTTGAGCAGCCAGGAGCCTTGGCAAGAGAACAAGGAGATCCGGTCCTGGCGCTACGGCCACAAACTGCTCTTGGTGACCTCCTTCTTCTCTGAGCTTCCATTTCCTGATCTACAGTGTGATGGGGGCCGCGTGGGGTGATCTGAGGCGCCTCCTCTCGCAGATGCTCACGGGCTTCTTTTCGTGGCTTCCAAGTTCTCCCGTGACAAGACTTTCAGAGTCTCCTCCCATCTATCTGGTTTCCAAAACTGGCTCGGGGGACAGTCCTGTCCCTGTCCGGGGTGTTTGCTCCAGGGGCCCCTCCCGTTTCTGGGCAGGGACACAACACTTCCAGGTGGGCGCGGTTAACCCTTTCACTTCCATCCGGGGCTCTTCCTGCCCTGCCCCCACTCCAGCCCCTCTCCGCGGTCCCTCCACCCACCCCGCTCCACTCCAGGCCTCCGTGTCCTCTCACTTTTTTGTCTGCTGCGCAAATTCCTGGCTCCCTAAGCCAGGTAGAAAAGCGGTTTAGTTCGACCCAATCTGGCAGTTTCTCAGAACCTCCCCTGTCTCTGGCACATTCCTTGTGTTTGGGCAGGACCCAGAGAGCTAGAGAATTCCTCTCCTCCTTAGCGTGGGTCCTCGTGTTGGCATGCCAACAGCCCCAAATATTTAAAGCAATCATGAAAATGAGCTCAGAGTCCCATGCCAGCTCCTTGAAAGGAATTAGGCTAAAAACAGGACAAAGGAAGAGGTGAGGGCAAACGGAAAATGCCATGGAAGGCACTGCCCAGCACGGCCAGGGCCCAGAACCCTCCTCACAGCCTTCATTCATCTGCAGCCAGGCCCTGTGCTGGGCCCTGGGGATGCAAAGTTAAATGCACTGTCACGCCTGCCCTCCAGGAGCTCCCAGTCCAGCCGGGGAGGCTCTACAAACAGACCATCACGGTACAGGATGGTAAGTATGGCTGAGATGCCACCAGAGGTCCAGTGGAGCCACCAAGGAGGGGCATCAGTTCAACTGGGGAGGGTCAGCAGTGCACCTCCAAAGGCCGGGCCCCGGGCCTGACTGAGGACGGGCATTCACCAGGGGACGGGGCAGAGGGCGTGCTTCCAGGCAAAGGGGAAACAGCGGATACTAAAGCACAGGAGCAAGAAGCAGGGTGGAGAGAGGAATAAAGTGCTCATGCGTAACTGCTTTGCAAACCGTGGGGGCCCAGCCTCTCTCCCGGGCGTGTTGATGCACACGGAATACACAGGACAGAGGGTGGGATTAGACCCAGCCCTACGATGTCAGATTTTAAAAACTGTTGACAGAGATGGACACTTGGATGCACATAAGCAGAAAGTCTGGAGCAGAAAGCCTTTATCAGCAGGGGCTTTGAGTGTGAGCAGAGCCCCGTGTGTGCAGGGGAGGTGGGGGGGGGGGGGCGGCGAGCACGCACACGGGAGGACCTTTCCTGTGATGGATCTCGCTGGGTTGCTGGAGGGGAGATGGGATTTCCCAGGTCACTAGAGTGATGGAAGAAAGTCAGCTTGGCAGGTGGGGAGAGCTGGCAGGCCCCCAGGCACCTGGCACAGCTGAGGGGAAGGTGCCAAGGTCAAAAGCAGATGCCTGAGTGAGTGAGTTATGATTCCGGGAGCCCCAGGGCCTGCTGGTTCCCAGGATGCGATGGGAGAGGCGGGCAGGCCCCGGGCCTCCTCCTGCCGGGGCACCTCAGAGTCCACAGTGGGGGCGGAGAGTGGCTTTGGCCTGAATCTTGGGGTGCTGGCCAGCCACGGGGCAGCCTCCTTGGGAAAGAAATGAGCAAAACGAAAGTGACACATGCAAAAATGATTATCAGGCGCTATAAAAAAAAAAAAAAGGAATCTGTTAGGGCCAAGACATCTGCTAATAGCAGTGTGTTATTAGCATCATCATCATCTTTATTTATTTAAATGGTTCTAGCATTTACTAAGCACCTACTGTAAGCCAGGCCCCATGGAGCCTCACCGGCACTCAACCTTCACAAGAACATCAAGAGAGCGGTATCCTTACTGATCCCATGTCACAGAGGAGGAGATGTCTTCTTGGGAGCCTAAATGAGAGGTCCAGGGGGCCCTACAGCCAGGCAGCGTATATTTAAAAAGTGGCAAGTGTTGGGGGTTGAATCACGTCCCCCCAAGTTAGTATGCCGACTCCCTAACCCCTGGTACCTCAGGATGTGGCTGTATTTGGAGACAGTCTTTCAGGAAGTGATTAAGGTAAAATGAGGTCATTAGGGTGGGTCCTCATCCAACGTGACTGGGTCCTAATAAGAGAAAATTCGGGTGCAGATGGGTGCAGAGGGGGGACCATATGAAGACACAGGGAGAAGCCCGAAGGGTCCTCAGAAGAAACCAACTCTATCAACCCTTTGATCGTAGGCTTCTGACCTCCAGAGCTGACAGCCGGTGGGTACAGCCTGTTGATTGAGCCCCTCGGTGTATCATATTTGTCACAGCGGCCCGGAGGGACTACTTCAGGGGTCGGTGGCCCAGGAGGGCCTCAGAGAAACCAGGAGCGTCAGGTCTGTGAGGAGCATGTGGTACCCACACAGAGGAGCTAACCACCTCCGCCTCGTCCTTGGCCATGGGGAACCCGAGGACGCTCCGGCATCCTCCGTTCCGAGGGGGACGGTAGTTTCTTCCTTTGCAAGATCAGGACTGGAAGTCAGTGGATCACAAACTGGGGTTTAAAGAGCTTAAAACACAAGGCCTAAAACAAAGCAAAGCCATCATAATCTTTCCGCTCTAGAGGCTTTCTTGGACAGACCTCTATGAGACGTGAGGTCAACGGGGGCGGATCGGTATTTCTACCTGGTTTGAGAAGGAAGACTGATGCCCAAAAGGAAGTCGTGTTCTCACATGAAATGCACCAGAGCCCCGAGGACACACTCGTGAGAGAAATCATCAGGACGGGTCAGTAACTGGGTCTGTCGTCACTATTGTCTGGGCTCTTGGACTCCTCAAAGCAAGTTCATCATTAAGGAAAAAAAGCAACGGGGCGCCTGGCTGGCACAGTCAGTAAAGCATGTGACTCTTGACCTCGGGGTCGTGGGTTCAAGCCCCACGAAGTTACTTAAAATTACTTACGAAATTACCTAAAAGAAACAAAATCTTTAAAGAAAAAGGCAAAAATATAGTCTTGAGGTTTGGGTAATCAGAATTGGTCTAGTTAAAGATTGGGGTGGGAAAGGGGGTTTTGAGGGTTCTAGTCAGCCCCTTATGTAGGGTGACCCAAGTCACCCTAGAATCTGCAGTCAATATGGAAATCACCAGAAGTACAGAGGGCTGAGGGCTCCAGGTTATAGGACTGTGGGGTCTGGAGACAGGGGGTGCAGGGGAGACATCCTGAAGCGTAAAGAAAGTGGGATTTCTGGGTTGAGGGCAGACTTTGAAATAGGTACAGGCTACTAGGACAAAGAGAAGGCCAGCCAAAGATGGGGATCTGAGATGAGGAGGGCGTTCTGGAGGAGGCGCTCTGGGAGCTGGGCTCTGAGGGAGGAAGGAAATGGACCTCAGAGGACAGAGGAAGATGCTTTTTCCCATGGCAAGTGTGAGAGAGAAACTCTAGAAGGTTCAGTGGACAGCAGGCAGGAAGCCCTCAGTGAAGAGTTGAACGCCAGGAGGGGAGCCCTGGGCAGCCCATGGGGTGTGTGTGTGTGTGTGTGTGTGTGCACATACACGTGAGTCCTGGCACTTTCATGGTGGGGGTGGGGGGGGGGTTACCTGGTCAAACATCTCCTGGGCGGAGTAGGGCTAATGCAGCCAGAGCTAACACCGGCGAGATTTGGAGAGAGCTGGGGGGATTCCTCAGGCGCCTTCCGCGGGGAAGGGGGAGCAGGGATGAAGGGTCAGGAGAGGGGCCTGCTGGATTTTCAATCAGACCTATAGTGTCAAGTTTCAGCTCGAGTGATATCCAAATGTCTCATATTTCTATTTTATCATCTCCACACTTACTTCCAGTAAGCAGAGCACGCCATCTGCACGATGTCGGGCCAAGGAAGTCAGACCGGAGAGGAAATTGCACTACGCAGCCTAATCGGTCCGATACGCCTGGGATATCAGCTGAGACATGTGTGTCTTCACTTATCTAAGTCCTGACGTCCTGATTATTCCCGAACAGGATGTTTCCCGTTTGGTCTGGCCGACAGGCGGCTCCAAAATGAACGACAGAGCTGCAGGCTTCGGTCTCCCCGAGAGCTTCTCTAACCCGCTCCTAAATCACATTTTTCCCCGGTCGCTGCGAATGATTCTCATGTGTTGACAGGTTCTGCAGTTCAAGACAAGACAGCGGCCCCAGTCCCGGTCTGAGAGAGAAGCGAACAGTGCAGCGGGGAGGCGACGTGAGGCGATGCTCAATGACACGGGCAGGAGGGGGCCTGCCCGCCCTCCCCAGCCCGCTCCTTCTCGGGCCTGCTGACGTGTCCTCTGCAGCCCTTGGGGGCAGTAGCCCATCTGGGGCAGGGCGCGTACTCTCCAAACCTTAGTTTCTTCTTCCTATGAAAAGCCGGCCTTGTAGGGCTGTGGGGAGAGTGAACATGTTACACAGGAAGAGCTCCTAACACAGTGCCTGGCACACAATAACCACTCAAGAAATGCTTTCAACAACAGTAACTAACAGCGGGGGCGCCGGCTGGCTCGGCGGGTAGAGCGTGCCGCTCTTAATCTCAGGGTCGTGAGTTCAAGCCCCAAGCTGGGCGTAGAGTTTCCTTAAAAAATCGTAACCGTGAATACTTATGTCAGGATAATTTTAAGCCCTTCACGTACAGGACAAATCTAATCCCTCACAGCCCTGTATGGCAAACTCCCTGATTGTCTCCACCTCACAGAGGAGGACACTGAGGCACAGGGAGGTTCTGTAAATAGCCCATGGTCTGGGAGCTGGTAGATCAGGGATTCTGACTCTGGCTCCAGAGGTTAGCTGTGAATAAATAAATTAACTAATTCAAAAGTTGATATATTGTTGGATAGATGGATGGATGGATGGATGGGTGGATGGATGGAGAACACGGATACGGAAATCACCAGAAGTGCAGAAGGGGCGACACGCGTTATCAGTAGGGGTCAGGCGATCTAAGCAGCACACGGACAGCTTGAGGGCCGGGAGTTCTAATCCCGGCCCCAGCTGCCCAGGAACGACACTGCTGTCAGTCATCCAACGTTGCCTCGCAGAAGCCTGGCCTAGACTCACCCCGCAGTGCAGGATGCCTCTCTTACTGCAACAGGGATAGTATGCCGTAATTTGGAAGGTTAGAACTGGACAGGACCGAGAGATCACCTGACCCCTGATTTTACGTTTGAGAGGATTGAGGCAAGAACAGAGATGTGACCAACCCAGGGTCACGCGGCGTCTGCTGCGACACCCGCATCCGTGCCAGCCCTGCAGTCACTCTACCCTATGGCCTCGTCTTCACCCCAGGAAAGTCATGTCTGCAGGTTGGGAGGGGAATTATGGAAGAAAAAACAAGTTTGAAGAGTTGAATACTTGCATGGCAGATGTGATACAATGTGTTCTTTTGTTGCAAGCAGGTTCTTATTTAGGAGAGTCTAATGCAGTCACCAGGCCCCATCTCTCCCCACCCCTGCTTGAAGTCATAGGGACATCACTTGTACCGGACGCTTGTACAAAACGCACTATCCTCGGGCCAAACAGGCCGCTTGCCGTTCCCCAAACAGGCCTAGAGCCTTCCACATCCCCGCCAGCCAACAGACATTTGCTCCCTCTGTTCCCTCTGCCTGAATCCTGCCCCACCCCTACCCTTGCTTCCCTCTCCACACGTGGAGAAACCCTCCCCAGCCTCAAGGGGGCAGCCTGAGAGCCGCCCGCTCTGTGAAGCAACCCCAACCCTCACAGTCAGAATGGACTTTCTGGGCTCCAGCGGCACCTTGGGCCCGTGGCTAAATCCCGGCTCCCACGCCAGCCAGGCCTGGGTGGGAATCTCCGTACAAGTACCTTAACAGTCTCCCTGTCTCCATTTCCCCGCTGATCAAATGAGGATAACCATAACCCTAACCCTCTCCTCGGGGGGGCTGCGTAAATGAGATCAACATATGAACATTAAGAATTTAGCACAGCACCTGGCACTCGGTAAATGCAGGCATGGGCCTCCCCGGGAGGTCTTAGTCTGCATGCTGTTTTGATTTATGGTTGTTTGGGGTTTACGTCTTATCACCCCTCCTAAGGAGATACCTATCTTGTTGTAGGAACTAGGCCAAGTTCATCTGTCCACATCCACTACACCCTAAGCCCCGCACAGACATGGTGACCATGCGTTCAGTGGAAGTATACTGCACGCAAACAAGATGTCAGTGCAGCCAAGGGCAGAGGGCTACAGCGTTTGTAACCATGGTGACTGCCTTTTCAAACAGGCCGCAGAGGTTCTGTCGGCCCCGTTACTAGCTCTCTTTTGGACGATAAAAGCTCTGTCGAGGTCAGATAGTGCACGTCAGGTTCTTTACACTACAATCTTACTTCATGTTTACGAAAACCCTATGAGGTAGACGTGATTATCCCTATTTACAGATTGGGAAACTGAGGCTCAGAGAGACTGTCATCTGCCAAAGGTCAGATGTCAAGTGTGTGGCAGAGCTGGGCTTTGAACCTAAGGCTTGTCTGACTCCCAAGTCCGTGTTGTCTATGCCAGGACTCTGAAAACGCCCTCACCGTCTGCCCCGGTGCCTGTTTCTGCACGGCCATCAAGGCAGGAAGGGCTTTTAGGCTTTTAAATAGTTGGGGGAAGACACGTGGGTGGCTCATTTGGTTAAGCGGTGACTTTGGCTCAGGTCATGATCTCCTGGTTCATGGGTTCAAGCCCTGCGTCGGGCTTCACGCTGACGGGGCAGAGCCTGCTTGGGATTCTTTCTGCCTCTCTTTCTCTACCCTTCCCCCACTTGAACTCTCTACTTCTCTCAAAATAAATAAATAAACTTTAATGATAAATAAATAATAAATGTAATTGGGGGAAGAAATCAAAAGGAGACTAATATTTTGACATGCAAAAATGACACGAAATTCAGATTTCAGCGTGTATAAGTAAAGCTTTATTAGAACACAGCTACATCCGTTGGTGTATGTATCACTTGGCTGCTTTTGTACTATAAGAGCTGGAATATCTTCAGGAGAGATTGTCTGGCCCTCAAAGCCTAAACTATTTACTATCTGGCCTTTACAGAAAAAGTTTGCCAACTCTGGCTCAATGCCATGCCGCCTCCTGCAGATAAACTTCCTGCAAAGGAAACTTCCCTTTCCTAAAAGTCTGCACCCATAAAAGGAAAGGCACCCATCCTTCCAGCCGACAAGCTTGGTCTCAGATTGACTTTCCCTACGCACACTGAGCCAGCCCTGGCTTCTCCCTGGCTTCTCTCGCTGTCACCTGGCTCCTGGCACGATCTGAAAGGCAGAGCTGAGGGCAGCCTCTAGACTCCCCCAGGCAGGGACAGGCCAGAGCAAGCTTGGAGGAGAGGGAAAGGGATTTAGACCCAGAAGTCAGCTCGACTTCATTAATGCCTTCACCCCCTCCCCCGCTTTGATTCATGGTTTCCTGCCACATCTTGTTCAGCCGTGAACATGCCCGGGCCCCAAGCAGCGACAGGCAGGCCGGGCTGGATGAAAGCACAGGGGCCCCAGTCCCCAGGATATGCTCTATCAGGCGTCCACCCCGGCCAGCTGGCAGAGGCCCACTTGGCAGAGCCCTCCCTGGGGGGCCTCAGGCAATTCCCTCCTGCCCGAGCCTCAGTCTCCTCATCTGTAAAATGAGAGGGCAGCGTGACTGCTCTCTCACCTGCTCCCACACACCCACAGAAGGCAGGCCCCCCTTAGATTGCTTAAAGGCCCCGGGAAATTCCATGACACCCTTTGCCCTTCCACTGGCCCCCTTGTGGGGTGAGTTCCAAAGAGCGGACTTTGCTCTTTATGGCATTCCTTCTTCCAGCAAGAATTTTTGAGCGCTGTGTGTCCAGCTCTGTAGAGACACAAAGGAAATAAAAGTAACAGAGAAGCTTTCTATTGGTTTCACGATACCAAATGCACCAGGTGAGAAGTCACAGAACAATCCCAGCAGATTCAGATTCCTTGGACAAATGCCGAGTGCCAGTTATGTATTTGGCACGCTCCAGGTGCTTTCATATCCAGGCTTTTACTTAAACCGAAAAACGCTCCTGTGGCCCAAGCATCCTTAAACCCATTTTCAGATACGGAAACTGAGACTCTGAGAAGTTGCTTGAGATTAAATGGCTGTAAAGAGGTGAAGCTAGGCTTTCAGTGCAGGTCTCACTGGTTCCGAAACCTGTGTATCTTCAACGAAGGGGGCTGCCCACTCCGGCCCCCAGCCAGAATGTAGTCGGGTGCCTCGCTGGATGCAGGATGGGGATGTTTAGACAAATTTCTTGAGAAGAAAAATCTTAATTGAGCCCTTTCACACAGTAGCAGAAAGAGCATTGGACAGCGATCAAAAATTCTTCTAGGGGGCGCCTGGGTGACTCGGTTAACTGTCTGACTCTTGATTTCAGTTCAGGTCATGATCTCAGGTTCATGAGTTTGAGCTCCGAATCGGGCTTTGTGCTGACGGTGCAGAGCCTGCTTGGGTTTTTCTCTCTCTGCCTCTTCAGCTCTCTCTCTGTCTCTTTCAAAATAAGTAAATAAACTTGAAAAAAATTCTTCTAGACCCAGCTCTGCATTTTAATGAGCCAAATAGCCCTGGGTGAGATTCCCCACACCCCCCTCCCTGGGACTCAGTTTCCCCATCTGTAAAACTCCAGTGGAGAAGCTGCATGGACTGATCTCAAAGTACCAATCACCCTCATCGCTTCTTCACAGATGCTGCACCTACTGCATTGTTCAGCTCTGACTCTGAATCATAAAACTCAACCCTGATGCCTGTATCAGGAGTGTAGAAAGACAGAAAACCCCTAATAAAACTCAGATAGTTGAGCTATATGGGTTCAACCACAAAACTCATTTTAATAAAAGAACAGAGACTAAACATGTTGGTTAGGCGGTGTCTTCCCTTCCTAATTCCATTCTGCTTGGGTTTTGTGGAATTTTCTTTCCAGGAATAACTTGGGCTTCTGTTGAATTTGAGGTTTTGGAGCCTCCTGCAGCAAGAAACAAGACAGGAAGGAATGTTGAAAAGGAAGCCGGTGTGAGGGTAGGTGGTAGAGGGAGGACTGAGACCTGAGGATGGGTAGGATTTAGGCAAAGTGCGGGCCACAATTTAAATGAAGAAAGAAGGGCGCCTGGCTGCCTCAGTCAGTACAGCATGTGACTCTTGACCTTGGGGTCGTGAGTTTGAGCCACACGTTAGGTGTAGAGATTACTTAAAAATAAAATCTTAGAAAAATTAATAAATGAAGAAAGAAAGGGAGGAAAGGAGGAAGGAAGAGGGAGGGAGATCCCAAGGCCTTTTGAGGAAACAGTGAGGTCACCAGTTGACTTAGATGGGCATCATCAGGGGGGCTAAGAAGAAGAGACGGAAAATATGGGCGTCCTGAATGCTTACAGTGAATTCAAAATGTGACTTGACACTCAAGTGGCTACATGTACACCCAGCATCCAGATCTTGATTTCTAATATCATTCTCCAATACAAGGAACCAGGGTTCCTTGGAGAAGTGGCTGATTCTAGGACTGCAGGAAAAAAAAAATACGCACACACAAACACACACAAACACACACACACACACACACACACACGCATTATGAACCTGGAACATCTTACAGTGCCAAAAAGTAGGGAAGTGCTCAAAAAATATTAAAAGCAATTTTTTAAACCTACATTAATAGGAGTGTGTCAAAGGGACACAGGAACCAACTAAAAGGGCTCTCAATGGACAAAGCTGGAAAAATCTGTGCAACAAAGTAAAGCAGCAATGATTTCTAACCCAAAGTGTAAAGTAGTCAGGAATCCACACAGATATAAATATATGAGTAAATACACAAATGGCGAAGAAGAGAAAA